TTCTCCTCGAGTATACTAAGCTTCAGACGTCCGTCCGCCTTGGATACCCTGCCCTTTGTGTTGAAATGCTCGTTGGCGATCTTGAGACGAGAAAAGGGCCCCGATCGGCGTCCGCGAGGCTGGCGCGTTGCTTGTTTGGTGAGGTCGTCTGCATGGCCGAGGCTCTTGCGGGGGAGTTCTCTCTCATCGTCTGAGGAGTCTGAGGATTCGGATTCGGGGTCGAAGGTGATTGTTGCTGCCCTTTCGGGTGCGGCTGGTCTTGCCTCGCGGGGCTTCTGCATCCTTCCTAGCAGAGAGTGTCGCACAGAGGGCTTCGGCCGTTCCGTTGCCCATCTCTGCTGTGTGGGACGCGTCGTCGACGCGAAGTAGTCCTGATCATTCGGGGTCGACTCCGAGGTGTCTCGTGGGGCGTCGATAGGCTGGTCTGGCGATGATGCGCCTGCTGGTTGAGCCATGTCTGCGGTCGAAGTGTTCTGGACGGGCGTGGGCGTGGTGGGTTCTTGGCCAGGGATATTCGGAAAGGTCGGCTCTTCGATGACCATACCGATGGGCGAGACGAGACCCTCGCGCTTGGGACTAGGCGTAGGGTTCGCCATAGTGAGCTGTGCGAAGAGGTTTGGCGTCTTGGTGGGTCAGAAGATCTGGGTCAGTGACGGTTCCGCGTTGCCGGTAGTGACGGCGCGATGATGGTGACAGCGCAGAAAGAGCGAAGTCTAAGCCTGAAGGGACGCGCGACACCCGGCTTCACCTGCATGCGCCAACAAAGCTTTTCGTATAGCTGCCTGGATCCGGACAACGGGCGCGCAAAGAGGTGAATAAACACACTTGCGAATGGCGTGGGATGGTCGTAGCGGCCGATCGAGGCCACTCGGTGGACAGCAGCACCAGCAGGAACAGGCGGCATGACATCACGTCCAAACATTTGCAATGTGGATCTAACGGAAGGCGCCAACGCGGGAGTTAACTTGGTCGGGTTAATTCGATGGTCTTGAAATTGTGCCTGGGCGTTCTTGGGCGACTCCTTTTTTGCCGAGGTTGCGCGACAGGGATTACAATCCCATGTCTTGAAACATGGCAATCTCACCGGCCAATGTGCGTACTTCTCGTACACCACTGGACACGAGATACTAACAAGAAACGTGGCACATTACAGACGTGGCGCCACTGCTGAGGTGGTATGGATAATTCGGCATGTTTTCAAGTGCGATGCATGTAGCCAATACAGCACAACGATCGTGACCCTATGATGCAGCCCTAAGCGTGTAGCGTCCCGACCTATCCGGGCTGCTCTGCATACTCTCCGAATGCGCTATGGTCGGCCTCTAGCAGCAGCCGGCTGTCGATCCGCAGATGCTTTTGGAAGAGTTCGAGCAAATTCAGCTAGGTCGTTGCCGCTTCTAGTGCATGATGGTGACCGCGTTGTTGTAGGGTCAGATGATGCTTGTAACAACCGCCGCAGTAGGCCAGCGCATCAAGGTGCATTTTCCGCAGAAGGATGTGGTCATGGCAGCACGGGCAAGAAAAAGTCGATTATCCATGTGGAAGCTTTATTGGAAGACCCCGAGCTTCTAGCCCCATCGCAGTTCGCACCGTGCTCGAGGGAAGGGCCCTGCCAAGCTTCACGATGATGCGCATCATCGCCCGAACCCCAGACCATACAAGGATGCTTTGACAACGTCCTGTGCCCACCCAGCCCAGCCCCGTCCAGCCTGGACCATGTTCAAGATCTTGATGAAGGTGCGGTTCCACTGATCTTGGTCCTCCCAATCATCGGCATAAGGCTCGAAGATGGCCGTTTCGATACTGCCAGGCGCGCCGGGCGTAACCAGATCCCACTCGCCGTTGTCCTTTTGACGCACATGCATCTTGGGTCCTATAACCAGCGCCCGACCAAGTATGCGAGAATCGGCTACGAAGCGCGTACCTGCGTCAACGACATCTTCCACCTTGCCTACGCCGCCTCCCGCGAGTATGAAGCGCGCACTGGCGGGCACGATGGGTGTATCGATGAAGTATGGGCAAAGTAGGTTCACGCGGATGCCTTGAAGGCCGCTTGTCACCCTCAAACTCCTGAAAAGGCCAAGCACAGCGTGCTTTGCAGCACAATACTGAGGTTGTATGGCAATGGGTCCGAGAGAGGCGATGGAGCCAAGCAGAAGGATATGACGATCGCGTGGGGAGGTGGTGGAGGGCTTCGAGTTCAAGCTGCAGTCCCTGGAGCCGGGGTTCTTGGGCAGCCAGAAGCAGGCCAGGTGAGTGGTGTATAGCACACCAGTGAGGTTCACGTCCATGATCTTGAAGACGGGTGGGGGTGGTGCAGCCGCATCGAGGTTTGCAGGTTCTTGGAGGACGTCGCGACCTGCTATGCCTGCATTTGCGACGACCGTGTCGATACCCCCGTGCGGGCTCAGCTCGACTGCCTTCTTGAAGAGGTCGACCTGCGACTGCCAGTCGGTCACGTCGCAGTGCACGAAGTGGGCTTTGCCGCCGTTCTTGCTGTCTTTGTTGATATCACGACAAAGCGCGTCTCCCTTCTGAACACTGATGTCCCCCACGACGACTGTAGCGCCATCAGCTACCCATTTCCGCACGAAGCCCGCGCCAAAGCCACTGGCTCCTCCCGTGATGAGTACGACCTTGCCCTTTACCCAAGCTGCATCGTAGGGAACGGTGATGTCGATGGGCGGAGACTGGAGGACATTCGGTTTCTGTGGTTTGTAGTCGTCCATTGCAGTGGTTCTCGCAGTGTGAGGATGATTGAACAAGTACTATGGGGGACTATGAGGGTGAGGCTGGGTATGGCTCTTATATCGTGAGGTACCCGCATGTACGCCCGTGGAGGTGCAGCTGCTCTCACCTGGCGCACTAAGGAGAGCAGCCTCGGCTCGCGAGCATAAGGTCGCCCATCCACCTAGTCGAGTGGGAGCCCGCGGCCATGATAGGCTGCCCCAGTGTTGAGCTTGTCGCATTATCCATAGTCTGCAGCTAAGGGGAGAAATACGACCGAGAAGTGCACACGCGAATGCGAGGTCGATCAGCCGTCAGACATGGTCGTGGTAAGATGATGAGCTGGTGGGGTTGTCAGGCTAGCGCTGCTGTGCCTGAACCCCTGCCGAAATTTCCAGTCGCATGCATCCCCGCCTTGCAAACAAGTCATACAGCAGCAGCACCTCATCCACGTCCGCTCCTCTGGACCACCTGGGTACTAAAGGTCCGAAAGCATTGCGACCAGGCTATTCCCGATCCATCCCATCATGGCGGCCAAGCCTCCCGCCCTCGACGTGTCGGCCACGCACATCGTCGCGACGCTCTTCTACAAGGCCGACACGCCCAACTTCTTCCAGCATGCCGATCTGTCGCCCCGAAGTCCCGGCGACCCAATTCCCTCCGCTTCCCTCGAGTCGCTGAAGGACGGCGCCGTGCCCACCGAGAACCTCGCAGACTACCCCCTCGAACCGCCCACACCTGGGCCCAACGCCCGCGACAATCTCTACGGAAGCTACGTCAGCCAAAGCTGCCTCACCGAGTTCTTCGTCACCCTCACCAGCATTATAACCGGCTTGGAGCAGAACACCATAACGAGCAAGAGGCTGGAGGCAAGCAAGCTCTGTAGGGTAGTCGAAGTCACATTCCCCTTGCCAAGCGCCTCGCCCGTCGCGCTTGAGACGTTGCGCAGGCATGAAGCCGTGTCGCGCTTCGAGCGCGAGTGGAACGTCGAGTGCGTCTTCCAGGCAGACACCATACATCGGCGCTACAAGAGGCTTGCCGTCTTCGACATGGACAGCACCCTCATACAGCAGGAGGTCATTGACGAGATCGCTTCGCTGATAGGTGTCGAGAAGGAGGTATCTGCCATCACCGCTGCTGCCATGAACGGTGAGCTCGACTTCGAGGCTAGCCTACGCGCGCGATGCAAACTGCTCAAGGGCGTGCCAAGCAGTGTTTTCGAGACGCTGAAGCCAAGGATAACATTGAATGAGGGTGTGAAGGATCTCATCACTGCCCTGAAGCGATTGGGCTTCAAGACAGCAGTACTTAGCGGAGGTTTCACTCCCCTAACAGGATGGATGGGACAGCAACTTGGTCTTGACTACGCCTTTGCTAACCACCTGGTCGTTTCCGAAGACGGAGCCACACTCACAGGCGAACTGACCGGTGAGATTGTGCACGCCCAGAAGAAACGCCAACACGTCCTAGAAATTGCCGACAAGGAGAATATACTCCTTGACCAGGTAATATGCGTCGGCGACGGCGCGAACGATCTTCCTATGATGGGCGTAGCCGGTCTGGGCGTTGCCTTCCACGCGAAGCCAAAGGTGCAGATGCAAGCTCCTGCTCGTCTCAACTCCAAAAGCATGCTGGATGTACTATATCTCTTCGGTATTTCAAAGGAAGAGCAGGAAACACTATTGCAATAGCACAATCACTCGCTGTACCAAAGGTAACCATCGAATACTGTCCCGCTCGCACCATGCATAATAATCCTGTTATTACGTGAACCAACCAGCTATATCGATTACTTGGTTGCGTTGCTGCGACAAGGCGCGTGTGGTCGTCTGATACATGTCCGGGACTCAGGCACACAGCGTGGCGCAGCTTGCCCCTCCGTGTCTGCCTGCGACCCCAGCCGCGACGCCACAATATGCGATGCGATCACAGCCTCGCGACATTATCATCATAAAGACGAAAGGCACGCACGTAAGCTCGTTCATTGATACTTTGGGTTATTTGCGCATCTTCTCTACACATCGCTACCAAGTATCGCGTATCGCACTCGCCTTTCTACGTTCCGACTCGCCAATAATCAACAAACGAAAGATGAAGCTACCCGATTTACCGACAGACATATATCGCCTTCTTCTTGATCAAGTGCGCTTCACCAGTGCAAAGCACTTTGACTTATGTTAACATTTGTCTAGCTATCGCTGGCAGACCAGATCTCGCTCAGTCTTGTTTCGCATACATGTCACAATCAATGCGAGCCAATTGTCTTCCGCACTATGACCGTGGGTGCTTGCAAAGAGCGAGGCTCAACTATGACTGCACGCATCACCAATGGCCTAGGATGGCCTTTTCGTACTATCAACTCGGGCAAACCCAAGCAAGGCGGACACGGTTCCCCCGCAAGCATCATGAGAAGTCTAAACCGGAACGGTGGTAGATTGGCGAAAACAGTGCGTCACTTGGTCATCCCATCTTATCCCGACCGTAGCTACACCTCCCCCGCTACGATTCTACACATTATAGAATGCACACAAAACCTTGCATCCTTTAGTTGGAACGCCGACTACGCTATCCCCTTGCTTGTTCTCGAGGCGCTGCACCGCAATCATCCTTCAGCTCAGTTGAAAGTCATGAACCACAACCGCAAGGATCTTGCTCTAGATGAAGCTCTCCTATCATCACCTCAGCTTCACACACTCGACATTACAGTCCGGTGCTTCCATAGGGGAGCAACACGTCGACAGGACGAAAACAGCGATCTCTCCAAGCTCAAGACACTACTCATGCGGGGTCGCAACCTCAAGGTCCTACGGTTACGTCTCAGTAAACAGCAACACTTTACCATGGCTGCGAGAAGTCAACGCAACAGCTACACGGCTATGGCCGTTGGCGGATCTCATTTCCGATTCCAGGAAACGGATACGTTCCCCACGCTTGAAGAGCTGGTCATCACCAGAGCTGATGACCTTGCGCATGCCTACGAGCTTAGTCCTAAGCACTGCAGTGATTGGGTCTACGCCATGGACTGGAGTGAGATGCGCATCTTGGATGTGGCATCCACTAATTCCGAACACCTACTACGAGAGATCGCTGGTCTAGTACCCAAGCTACACACGCTGAGTTTGAACCCGTCCTCTATCGACTGCGCTACTCTCCAAAGCTTCCTGGAAACTGTGCCACTGTTGTCAGATCTGAAGCTGGTTGCTGGAAGCACGTCGAACGTGTATATTGGTAGCTTTGACAAAGCAGTCACGAGGGTTTGTGAAGCCATTGGAACTCAACTCCGCTCTCTGCAGATCGAATCTAGATCTGGTATGGTCATGCCGTGGCAGGATCAGAGGATTCAGGAGGTACTGGAGTTATGTCCGCAGCTGAGGTATTTCGAAAGTGTCATCGAGGGGCTGGGTTCGACCGGTAAATGGGATGGTGATGTTGTTGGCAAGTCGGCTTCGTACAAGCGTGCATTGATGTCATCGACTAGCACTAGGGAATCAGGTATGCAATCCTTTTCTCCTTTCGAATCATGCGAGACGATACATTGTTAACTTGTTTGTGTAGTTGATCCCTACGCGTCATGCTGTGGCACGGGTATAAATGTACCACCTGAATGCGTCCCCCGGTACACAGCTCTGCCCCCAACATAGCGGACGTCCAAGCCACATGCTTTGTCCATCTCCTACATAATCCATCGCGCTTTGCAAATTCCTAGTCTCTTCCAAACACCTTGGCCAGACCTTCTTCCAAATCATGCTCACACTTGCATGGCGGTGGTGATATCTGATTTTCTGTGACCCGAGCCGGCTGAGTTTGAGACAGTCCGACGTTTCTGCAGCCCTCGCAATACACCCGCACTACGACCTCTTTAGCCTGCATTCGATGCTCACAATGCCGCAAAGCGTCAAGCACAGCGTCTTTGAAGTTATGAATGCACCGGAAAGTAGGCGGCGATGGTTTTCCACGTGACAAGTAGTACCTCACAAGGTCTGTGGGATCGGTGCGAATCTTGAGGCTCAGATTGAATGTGCTCAGATTGGGGAAACGCGTTTGCCAGTTAGTGGAGCGTCGAATTGCTTGTAGGACAGCACCTTCACGCGTGGCATCTCGGCCTAGTGTCATCTGAGTGGACGCAATCAGTACTCTCCAAGCTGTATCCATATCGAGCGTTTGGTCATTCGGTCGCGATGTATACAGATTAAAATTGACTTCGAATCTCCGGATCCACTTACACGCATCAAGTGGAGGGAATTTAGGAAAGAACGGCGAGAAAAAAGGAATTGTGGTGACGAATTTGTTGCTTTTGTAGTCTGCCTCTATCAGTTGTTGATTTGAATGTACAGAGCCTAGTTGACCAGACCCCCATTTCACTTACAGCTTTCACGGGCGAGCGCGGCCAGCTCCGTGTTGCCACAGCGCAAAATTGGTATCAATAAGCTCACCGCTTGGTAACTGGTGTCCTTATCGATAGGCTCGAGAAAGGTAAGGGCGTGACTGAGGACTTCTAGTTGAATTTCGGTAGGTAAGTCTGACCATGGATGGAAAGACGCTGTCTTCTGGGGTGCGGTAGCGGATGCCATACGCGTGAAGGTCTCGAGGGTTCGCAAGATGAGACAGTCGTTAAGAACCTGAGTGAATGGATTATTGTTTGTTAGCTCTCAGAGCATTTGCTATTCACAAACACCTTCGAGTGGTCTGGAAGCGAGTCATATCGCGGCAAGGATCGTGTGGCGCGCGTGCAAATCCCACATAACAAGTGATGTGAGGTTGCTTTCACCTCCACCTACAATGCGGTTCACTACTACCAGCTCGGCCAGCGACTATGTAAAAACACCCTCCATGTAGCCGTATACACCATGCCATCCATCAGCATATCAATCGTTCCTTTCCCCAACTCACCAAGCTTACCTCACCGATTCTACTCCACACCAACAATGCCCGATCAAGTCATTACAACCACCGGTTCCGCAAACTCACCAGTGCAGGCCGACTCGAAAGACTCAATCTTCGTCCAATACTGGCATAAGCTTCCAGCAGAGCTAAGAATAATAGTTCTGGAGCAGCACCTAACCTTCCCAACTCCAATCACTTACACAAAACACTGGGCCCTCATGAAGCTACGCCTCCTTCCCCTACTCCGTACAGATTTTGCGACCATAGCAAAAGCCGCATATTACAATAACAACGTCTTCCAGGTCACAGACTATACGCTACATTACGGACATCGACCATCGCTACGTGTCGGGAGCGAAATCCGCCACCTGGAATTCCGGTTTCAGTCAGTTTCTCGTAATGATTACGGAGGCTTAGGTCTCCTCTGGCAGCCGGCAAACCAGATACCAAGGAGTTGGCAGCAGAACATCCCCAAGCTGAAGACTCTGCGCGTTGTTCTTGATGCGCGTGGGTATTGGCGTACCACGTTCGATGGATCCCGAATCTGGGTGGACGCACGGATTACGGGGGAGATGCTGGTATGGTGGGAGAGGATTCTGACGGAGAACGTGCTGAGTCTTACTCCTGAAGATATCACCTTTGAGATCGAGGCGGATGGATGCCCGATGGCTAGACCTGAAGATGTGTATCATGACGAAAGCAGCTGCACTTGTAAAGAGGATCTGGAAACGGATATTAAAGGGTTGATGGTAAAGAAGTGAGATGGCGACAGGTGGAAGAAGACGATCTAATGGCCTGGATTTCATGTACTCCCATACTTCTAGCTCTTGCTGATAGCCCTGAAACGACTGCTGTGATGACGATGCTGATACGTGACTGATGTAGGTGATTGCTGCCCAGGAGTTGCCGGAGTGGTAAGCGATTCTGGAAGATACTGTTTTCGGGGTATTCGCTGTTTCTTGCCGTCCGATGTCATGGCCATAGGAGGTCAGAGGAGCGATTGCTTGGGTGATGCTGGGTGCTCCAACGGATATCACCGGATTGCCGAGCTCTAGTGCGGATGAGTCAGCAACAAGCCCGCACACGTCATGTCGCGTCGCGTCGCGTCCACGGGTCACTTCCAACCTTGGAAGGTTCGTTCATAACGAACACCTGCGTCATCAGCATGTTTTGGTGGATCTCGCAATGACACCTAGAAATTGACAAGGCAAATACATTGAAACATCTGTATGTATATAACGACACACTCCACTTCACTGAACACCGCGAGACCAAGCCCCGGTCTTAGTCAAGCCGCACTCCTATCTTCGCTGTGGCAGTCTACTCCTTCACTTCCTCCTTGACGAACTTACTCTTTCCCGCAACCTTGACAGCCAGCAGCCAGATACTAATATCGCTCATGATATCCACAGTACCAACGTCCGCTCCGATAGCCTTCGAAAACCAGTTCCGCATCTCCACCGCGACCAACGAGTCCACGCCGTACCGATAGATCGCCTTCTGAGGATCGATGTCGTCCTTGCTGACAACCAAGAGACTGGAAAGCTGGTTCTGGATCGCGTCGACAACGATATCGGTGGCTTGAGCGAGGTTCGTGGCCTCTGAGAGCTTGTACGAAGGGCGATTCTTGGCTTCGGCGGTCGCGGTGTCAGAAGAGAAGCGCGAAGGGAGCGTGTCGAGATAGTGGTACAACGGCCGCGTACTACCGAGAGGTGCCACGATACCCATGGCACGGAGATCAGCCGGCAGGGTCAAGGGTGTGATGATCTGGGACCCGACAGTGCTTGCATCGACGCGTTCGGGGTCACAGCAAAAGCGTAGCAGCTTGTAGATGTCGCTCATGGGCACCTCCTCCAGCATACCCCGCACGCGGAGCAAAGCTTGTACTTGCTCGTTCTGAGCGACGTAGCCAACACCGGTGACCATGCTCAGAGCGAGGGTGTGAGCACGCTGGCCGTGACGCATACGATGGGCCGCTAGTTCGTCCTGGTATGTGTTGCCAACGGTGTAATTTGATTGACCAAACGAGCCCATGATACCGGTGGAAGATGACAACATGACGAAGAAGTCGAGATCGGCAGGTAGAAGCTGGTGTAGGTTCCAGGAGCCGTCTACCTTGGGCGCGAGTGACTCGTGCCACTTCTCGCTCGACATCTTTGCGAAGGAAGAGTCGCGCATCACCATTGCTGCTTGGACACACCCTTTGATTTGCGGAAGAGCTTGGAAGGTTGCAAGGGTCTCCTTAAGCTGGTCATAGTTGGCGACGTCGCATACTGGAGCATACACTGCGGCGCCTTGTGCCATCAGTCCTTGCATGAAGTAATCGCGCTCAGATCCAGTACCCTCGACTGCTGATCGTGACGGCAAGATTAGATGCTTGGCTCCATTGTGTACCATCCACGTAGCAATGCTCTGGCCGATACCGCCGAATGCGCCAGCAACAAGATAGCTGGCGTCAGAAGAGAACAATGGCTTGTCAGAATCTGGCGAGAGTTCCACCTCCACAATCTCGTCGCCAGCCATCTCGATGACTACTTTTCCAAGCGTCTCTCCATCTTTGAGCGACTGGAAAGCCTGCTGAATACTACCCTGCCTGAACACGGTCGGAGGTAGAGACATGGTGATCTTACCACCTTCCATCAGTGATAGCACATCTGTAAAGATGCCAGCAAACAAATGGCTCTGTGCTAAGTCCTGGAAGTTGACGCTGACGAAAGTGATGTTCTTCGTCGTAGGAGGTACCACAATCTCGTTTGAGCCATTCGCGGTCGAGTTGAAGACGTCCTTTTCTCCAACGCCAACAAAGCGTCCGAACGAAGCGATACATGGCCAAGAATCTTGCAAGAGTTCTTCAGAGCCTATCACAACATCAACACCTCGTCCTGCTGTCAAACGGAGGATACCATGCTGGAAGTCGAGGTTGCCAGTGAGCAACACGTTCGACGTCGGAACGTTGAAGTTCTTCTCCAGGAAAGCCGCTTCTTCAGGTGTGCCTACAGTCGCAAAGACTTTCGTATATCCGTGGAGAACAGCGATTTGGATGATCGCTCGGCCGAGCGTGCTAGCAGCCTCGTGGACCAAGATGGACTCGCCACCCTGTATACCGACACACTGCTTCAAGCCGTAGTAGGCCGTACAGAATGCCACTGGATAAACAGCAGCATCGCAGAAGCTCATACCGTCCGGCATCTTGTGCAGTTGTGAGAACTTGCAGCGGGCAATTTGCGCAATGCCATCTCGTGTGACACCGAAAACGCGATCACCAATCTGGAAGCCCCCATCGTGTGATGAACCAGTGCGTGCCACGACTCCAGCGATCTCGCTTCCGAAGGTCTCATCATGGACCTGGCCAAGTGCTACCGAGACGTCCCGCATATTGAGTCCAACAGCCTTGATTTCAACGACAACATCATCCGGCTCAAGCTCTTCAATGTTGTCGGAAGCCTGCTCGTAATGCAGTGTACTTAGGATGCCTGCCGCGCCGATGGTCAACTTTGGGCTGTCAAGCTCGCTCCAAGGTTTGGTGACAGTAACTAAGGTATCTTCGGTAGGCAGTGCTTGAGCAGTGAGTTCCGGGTCGTCGACCACACGTGGAATGCAGAGCTGGCCGTCAATTTCGCAGTACTCGTCCTCCGGGTCGGGTTGTGAATCTAACAGT